AGCCTGTCTGCAGCGACCAGGGCTAACGTTAGCCTCTCTGCAGCGGCCAAATGTTCATTTGATTTGTGTTTATCTGACTGTCTTCATTATTATTCCTCCACTAAATGAAAAAATTATTTATTATTATCTAGGGACTATTAATAACAGAAGTTGAAATGCAGCATTAGACGAGCTGAACGTGTGGTGATGTCATCAGTACGCTTCTGTTCCAGTTGATCCAGATTTATTCTGTGTGCTCCGGTTCTCCCAGAGTCCAGACTTTCCTGGGTTCTTCTCAACAACAGACTTGGCGAGAACACGAGTCTTTACTCGCGTTATAGTGAATTGAGAAATGGCCACTTACTTCAGACTCAACTTCAGACTCTTCTCCTGTAGATTCGGCCGATGCAGTAAAATGCTAACCAACCAATGGGCAGAAAGGTGACCCTTTAAGCCACGCCCCCTACTCATTTGCATAATGAGGCAGAAATAAATAGCATGGAAGAAATATATAAGGTAAAAAAATACAAAGGAAGAATAAAACAGACAAATATATATTATAACATGCACATAAATAAATACTTAGAAAAATGAGTAAGAAATAAAAAAAAAGTTGAAGATTATAATGGACAATAAGTAAATAAGGTAATTATTACAGAGGAGAATAAATAAAGAAGCTAATTCAAAGATATATATAAATTTATGTCTCACTGTATAATTTAATTTCTACCTACATTTATTTGTTTATTGTATTTCTGGGGACAATTAATTGTATGCTTATTAATTAATCGAGCATTTATTTATTTCTGTATTTATTTTTAAATATGGCAGAGTTGGTCCTCCATACGTCCTAGTCTATAAGGTAAAACTAAATAAATATGCAGAAAAGCCATGGCTAACCAAGGGCATTCAATAAGCTTGAACAAAGAAAAATAAACTGTATAAAGATAGAAAAATAGAACTCAGGAAACAGAACAAATATAAATCCTATAAGAATAAATCAAGTTAAATATATATATATATATATATATCTTGTACTGTTTTTTAGTTTTGCCTTACCTGATGTACAGTATTGAGGTTATAAAGCTAATTCAAACCCTTTGGTAATAATTTAAAGCGTAAACAAAGATAATGGAGGATGAGCTCAGTGAACACGCCGCTAACAGGAAAGGAAATGACATCAGTTCCTCCTGTGGAGCCGAGCGAGAGCAGAGATGAAGCTGACAGCGTGATGTCAGAGTTGAGCGCGCAGCAGAGCGGTTTATAGGGAAGGTGTGCGAGTTTAAACGATCCCCGTTTTTCCCGCTGCACGCTCAGATCAGTGGAACCAACATGACGCCATAGATGTTGATCAAAGGAACAGGAAATGCAAAGTTAGTCTGCAGACTGTGGGGAATAACCAGAGTAACACATCCAGCCTCCTGCAGCACAGCCACGCTGTGGAGGTCAAAGGTCAGCTAAAGCAATTTCCTCCTGTTCAATCAGACACTGATGAATGTTTAAACCTGAATGGCTTCAAGACTTTAATATTTAATAGAAAGTAATATGTAATGTGATTAATTCAATAACTAGATTATAAATAGATCAGCTGCCTTTCCTGCACTGGGCTTTATTTCTGATAGAGGAGCGTTTATGGAGGTTAAACTGCCCAGTTTATCCTATAGATGTGACTTGGTGTGGGAGGGTGACCATCAGAAGCTTTTTTGCTTCTGCCAATACATCCATTTACAGACATTTTTTCTTTCCTTTATGTTACAATGACATTTACTGTCATTCATTGTAAGTTTGTGTGTCTGAAAATTAACCAGCAGCCAAATGAATAAGCTGCCATTTTGAGTTGATATATTTGTAAATCTGCCTCTAACCTCACGGCACGTCACGGTCCCGGATGACACGATCTATTGTTCACAAGCTCTGCCAACCCACCTCCTCTCAGTCTGTAAATGATCAACCGCTCCTACCTGGTTGATCTCCTCCTGGGTGGACTTGAGGGAACTGATGATGGTTTCAAGCTGGATCTTTCCAGCTGCCAGGTTCTGCTCCAGCTGTCGCTCCTCCTGGTGCAGTCTGTCCAGGTCAGCCTTGGCCCGGCTCAGCTCCTCCTCCTGGCTCTGCAGGTCGGACTCCTGAGAGTGGATCTGACTCTGAAGGCTGGAGATCTGCATCAGAGAAGGACAGAGACAGCAGGTTTGTAGGTGGGACCAAAGACATTGGCCGTTTCTCACTATGTGGACTTTGGCGTTCTCGTGAAACGTCATCAGCCTCAGTCCGAGTACTGTTCCAGTTCACAAGAACAGCAGACCGAGAACGGACCAAACACCCGGATGTTGTTCTCGCCCCTCCCTCTTTACCCAGCATGCATCATAGCAGACTTGTCTGTTCTTGAGATTGACAGCTGTCCCAGCATGCACTGCAGCAGCAGCTTTCAATGAAGCGCTCCATTGAAAGCTAAAAGTTCTCTTTCTGTTTCTGTTGCTCAATAAATGGAAGTTTGAAGATCATTTGAGGCGAGAACATTATACTTCAACGCTTCACTATATGGTCCATTTACCGATTTAATGCGTAATTTTAAAAAAATTGCTGAAGTGGAGAGGATCGCGGCAACCAGCGGACCTCAGAGGGTAACGGCAGATGGGCTAACAGTCTGCAGCGGCCAGGGCTGTAGTTAGCCCGTCTGCAGCAGCCAGAGCTAACGTTAGCCCGTCTGCAGGGGCCAGAGCTAACATTAGTCTGTCTGTAGGGGCCAGAGCTAACATTAGCCCGTCTGCAGCGGCCAGGGCTAACGTTAGCCCGTCTGCAGGGGCAAGAGCTAACATTAGTCTGTCTGTAGGGGCCAGAGCTAACATTAGCCCGTCTGAAGCAGCCAGAGCTAACATTAGCCTGTCTGCAGCGGCCAGGGCTAATGTTAGCCCTGTCGTGGAAACTGTTCTCCCTACGACTTAAAATTGAAGCTAAGTCTTATAAAAATTCAAAGTTCTCAAAAAGCTGTAGAAAAAGTCTTCAAACTATGATCAAAAATTAGGCAGAGGCAACTGAGTCCAGGTCCGGAGAATTTTATTTACAGAACACACAAGAGCTGTTCACCGGTGAGCAACTGACTTACATGCAGAAAAGGGCCCCCTTTTATTTACTCCCGGGGCTTGGGGCTCTTTCATCTTGGTGGAAGACCCACCT